ATACTATGTTCTACAAACACGGTGAGGAAGGGAAAATTGCCGTTTTAATTGTGTTGTGGATGATATAATTTTGACAGGTGATGACATTGAAGAGTTGACCAGACTGAAGAAGAAACTTGCTAAAGATTTTGAAGTCAAAGATCTGGGAGCATTAAAATACTTCCTTGGAATGGAATTTGCCTGGTTAAGAGAAGGAATTTTTGTGAATCAACGAAAATATGTACTTGATTTGCTTAATGAGACAGGACTACTCGGGTGTAAAGCTGCTGACACTCCAATTGAAGTCAACCTGAAGTTAGAAGCTGCCGAACCCGAGAATATGGTTGATCGTGAAAGATATCAGAGATTGGTGGGAAGACTAATTTACTTATCTCACACACGCCCAGATATAACATTTGCAGTCAGTATGGTGAGTTAGTTCATGCACTCTCCTGACGGGAACACTTTGAAGCAGTGTGCAGGATTGTGAGGTACTTAAAGGGCTCACTAGGTAAAGGACTTATGTTCAAGAAACAAGGTCATTTGCAATTGGAGGTGTACACAGATGTTGATTGGGCAAGCAGTATAGTTGATAGACGATCTACCTCAGGATATTGCACCTTCGTTGGAGGAAACTTAGTCACGTGGCGAAGCAAGAAACAAAATGTAGTAGCGAGGAGTAGTGCAGAAGCCGAGTTCGGAGCACTCGCCCATGGGATTTGCGAAGCTATGTGGTTAAAAAGACTCCTTGAAGATTTGAAGGTTACTGTTTCTCCTCCAATGAGAGTCTACTGTGACAACAAGGCTGCCATTTCAATTGCTCATAATCCAGTCCTCCATGACAGAACCAAACATGTGGAAGTTGACAAACATGTGGAAAAGCTTGACTGTGGTATGATTTGCATTCCTTATGTCTTTACTATTGAACAAGCTGCAGACATCCTTACCAAAGGACTACACAAGAGACAGTTTGAAGTTTTAAGAAGCAACCTAGCTATGGAAGACATCTACAAGCCAGCTTGAGGGGGAGTGTTGAAAAAGAGATATTCATGTTGTAAAGCACAAAACAGAAGCGAAGAGAGAAATGAGACACGAAGAACACAAGGATATTACGTGGTTCAGCCACTAGGGCCTACATCCGTGGCACAAAGAGCCCAAAGGGCTACATCACTTTATAATATATTCTCTCTTAATCTTTGTATACAATGATCACCTAGGTGAAAGAATAGAGGCGATAAATATGGAAAGTACATTAATGGAAGATTCCTAAAATCAATACCATAAATCACTCCAATCATATTCTATTATTGGCTAGAATCTCTCCTATGATATTCTCGTATCAAATATTTTGTCAAAGAGTAATTTAAGGGTTTCTATAATAATATTTTCTAAATATAACATCTTCTAATACTCCCCGTCAAGCTGAAGGCCAGCTTGCATATGAAATCATGAAACAGATCATTTTCCAACGATTTGGAAAAAGACAATAAAACTGCTAGCGACACGGTGAAGGCGAAGAACAATGCTACCGAACACACCGGCAGCCCAAATATGTCCACATAGCACCGAACACATGGCGAAGGTGAGGAACAATGTTACCGAACACACCGGCAGCCTAAACAAGTCCACATATCACCCAACACATGGCGAAGGTGACGAAAAATGCTACCAAACACACCGGTAGCCCAAACAAGTCAATAAAACTGCCGGAGACACGGCAAAGGCGAAAATAATTATCGCCAAACAAACCGGCAACCCAAACAAGGCACATATAGCACCGAGAAACCCTTAACAACATTTCAGATGCTAAGGGAATACCCCAAAATAGGGGTCCGAACCTAGGAAGAGAAATTTGGCTCTAATACCATAAATCACTCCAATCATATTCTATTATAGGCTAGAATCTCTCCTATGATATTCTCGTATCAAATATTTTGTCAAGGAGTAATTTAAGGGTTTCTATAATAATATTTTCCAAATATAACATCTTCTAACAGGTTTTAATAAGACCAGATTTTAGGGGATATGATAGGAGTGTAAATATAGATAGTCAATGACTAAGATTAGGAAATTAATGTTAGTGTACAGCCTGTAGTTACAGCTTGTAGTTTCCTGTTACAGCCTGTAGTCACAGCCTGTAGTTTCCTTTTTTTAGCTCCTTGTATTTCCTATTTAACTAAAGCATTGTAAACCATTCTTAGTACGGCAATATACAGATTCTTTTCAATCTTGAAATTGCCTATTCCTACCTATATTCTTTCCTTGTTCTAGATTCTAGCTTCAGTGTGTCAGTAGATTGAGAAGCTTTAGGGAACTTCCTATGGGGAGGGATGGGGGAGGAATTCGAGTACCACCTTGTGAACTTGGGATCAGGTGTGCAGGCTGATTCAATTGGGGCTTTTGGGAATTAGGAGACTCACTCCCTTCAATAAGCCATGTTGGGTAAGTGGTGGTGGAGAGTGATAGGCTTTGGAGGAGGGTCATATGTTTGTAGAGGAGAGGGGCGGGTGGTGTACTCTAAAGGTGAGGAGTCCGGGGTTTGGAAATTCATCTGGAAGGGTTGGGATGAGTGTTCAAAATTATACGTTTTTGAGTGAGGGATGCGGAAATATTAGGTTTTGGGAGGACCTTTGGGGATGGGGACTGCCCTCTAATTTGCACCTTTCCAAGGCTCTTTGGGATTGTGATAGACGGACATGCCATGATTGTTGACTGTTATTGGCGTGATAGTGGAGGACTGACGTGGAATGTGCACTTCATGAGGTACTTTCAAGATTGAGAGCTGGAGGACATCTTGGATTTGCTAGCAATGTTTTATCGTTGTTTCTTTTTAAATCACTTGCAAGTAGATGAATCTATTGGAGTATAGAAATGTAGCAATGAGGTCGTATCCACAGGGAATGCTTAGGAAAATTTGGAAAACCAATCTAAACCCAAATTAATTACATCTAACCTAGTTGAACAGGTTGGTTGATTTGAGAAATTAAACTAAGCATGCAAAGAAAATGAAATTCAGTCAACAAAAACAAAACATATGCTGTAAGAGATCTGCTGCAAGTTGCTGCATATGTTGATTGCTGAAATCTGGTGTACATGCTGAGGGCAATCTGCTGTCCCCTTTTGCACATGAAAATGCAAAACATTTTACATAAGCATTCTAACTTATTTAATAATAAGGACTAGTAAATATAATTTAGAAATAATAATCATGATAAAAAATGTGCTCATCAGTCAGAGGGTAGTGGGCACGGGGCTTGATGAGTGGATATGGACTTCCTCTTCCCAGGGTAGATTCGGAGTGCTCTCATTCTACTCCTGATTTATTAGTGCTTAGGTTTCTTCTTTTCCATGGAAGGAAGTGGGGCGCACAAAGGCACCCCTGAAGGTGCCTCTTTATTAAATTTTATTTATTTATTTTTTTGGACGATAGCTTGGGGTTGGATCCTTACCATAGACATCCCGAGGAGGAGGGATAGACTAGTGAACTGGATTTTCATTTATATCTATTTTATAAGAAAATTATAGAATTTAATTAATTTATAATTTTTATACTAAAGTTATACAAGTTAGAAGATGATGCTATTCGAATTTCAATATATATATATATATATATATATATATATATTGAAATTCATAATAATCTTCTATCTTTTCAATATAGTAGTTTTTGTTCATTACATACTGTGACATGTGTCTAATGTCACTTTTTTAAAGAAAATGAGGTTCGACACTTTGATGCATACTCATAATATTTTCTCTAAGCTGCCATGTGTTCATTCTATGTAAGAGTGTAGGATGTGTTGGTCAAGTGTCCGAAATGTGTTGACCAAGTATCCAAGATGTGTGGGCAAAGTGTCCGGGATGTGTGGGCAAAGTGTCCGGGATGTGTCGGCCAAGTGTCTGAAATAATAAAATTTATTTTAAAATTTTGGACATTTCCATGAAGTGTTGGACGCGAGTCCAGGAGTGTCCATGAAGTGTCGGTGTTGGATACGGACACGATATTTACAAAGAAGTGTCCGTGCTTCTTAGTAAATATCTATATGTGTAGTTCTTCTCTTAATTCTACTCGGACTTTTGACTTCAAGAATACAAATATTCGACTCTTTGACTACTCAGGCTATTTCGGACCTTCTAAAGACTGCATATAAGGAGCCAGTAATCTATTTTACATGGACCTGGTATTTGCGTTGGGTGTTTGTATGATTTCAAGTGTTGGATGTATCAAAATTTCAAACGGGACACATGGACAATGCTAATAATTCATATTGTTTAATATTTTTCTTTTATATTTGAGAGTAAACCAATGTTTTAAAGTAGTAGTCAACATAGTCATTCACTCGTTTTGAGTAATTATGTAATAAAACTGAATTATTGAATATGCTTTTTAGGTGCTTTTACAACCAATTGTGTTGGACACATCGCATACCCACGCCCAAATGTTGTGGATCCAACACATGTACTTCATGTATGTTGGGAGTCATTGTAAGATAGAGAGTAACACGGCCCAGAATTGGTCACATGGACGACTGCTATCACCCATTTCGTGAGAAACTTAAAATTAATAAAGTACTCTTGACTCCTAAACTTATAAACATAAATGAAACTTTACCAGCAGCATACTTGCTTAAAATAAATATAATTGATTCTATTTCAGCCAGAAACTTAATTTATAATGTCCTAGGCACATCCCACATGAGATTTCAGTTTCCCCCTCTTTCTGTTAACATGCTTTGTATCAATGATATATTATTCTAACTATTCATACACAGTTCAAGGTTACCATTCCCCTAATTCAGTTTATGAATTTTATTTAGATGTGCAAGAGTAGCTATACTATCCTTCCTCTATTGAAATATGGTGCTGAATGCTTGTAGTTGTGGAAAAAAGAACTCTGACAAATTTAATATTGATAAACAATTTTCTCGTCTTGTAAATGTTGAGCCTACTGTTTCTAAGCTGCTGATGGTACTCTAAATCTTTTTTCTTTCTTTCTTTCTTTTTTATTTTTTTATTTTTAGAGAAACTACTTGGATGTTTACCGGTTTGAATCATGGGGAGGTACAATGATCCCGACGTATACATTTGGGCAACAGGTTTACTGTTAATCATCTAATTGCACAATGTTGTTTCTTATTTTTCATTTCACCTGTATACCAGATATTTTTATTCACTGTTTTTATGAGCATTTAGCTCCTTTTTCTACCACTGTTAAGATATATTTTATTAGGAATTATGTGATGGGCTGAATTTGAAACATTTAGCCTGGTTGAAATTGACTTCTTCCTCCTAATGAACATATAATCTAATCCACTCTTAAGTAATTGTTCCTGTGTAGCTTGACTGATATTATAAACATGGATAACCATTACAGATACCCTATTGTTAATGTTGACTTTGTAATAGAGAGGTTTTCAGGAATTTTCTGTGAGAGAACAATCGGCCTCTCTCACATTACGACAAAATGACCAACATACCCTATATAAGAGATATTCCCAAATATACCCATATACATTATACATTCTAACATTCCCACGCAAGCTGGTGAATATATATGATATAATCCCAGCTTGGAACAAATGAACTTCAACCGACTGTGACTTAGAGCTTTTGTAAGCATATTAGCAAGTTGATCTTTAGATTTAACGAATGGTGTAGAGATGTCTCCACTCAATATCTTATCTTGAATAAAATGACAGTCAACTTCAATATGCTTTCATGAAATACTGGATTAGATGCAATGTGAAGAGCTGCTTGGTTATCACAAAACAATGAAAGAGAAGTCTTGACTGTCAAGCCAAGTTCTTAAAATGTTGTAGCCATGTTAACTCACTAGAAGTGTGGACCATCGCCCTGTACTCAACTTCTGCACTGGATGGAGCTACCACTGTCTGCTTTTTACCCCTCCATGTAACTAGATTACCTCCAAAGAAGGTGCAATACCTTGTAGTGGATCTCCGATCCGAAGGGGAGCCAGCCCCCCCAATCAGCATTTGTAAAACCTTCCACCCTAAGATGCCCATTTGATTTATACAACAATCCAAGTCCTAGAACTTGCTCGAGGTATTGAATAATCCGAAGAACACCATGCCAATGTGATACCCAAGGGGCTGCCATGAACTGACTCACAACACTTACTGCATAGGAGATATCGTGTCGAGTAATGGTGAGGTAAATTAACTTACCAACTAGTCGACGGTACATACTAAGATCATCAAATGATCTCCCTCATCAGACATAAGTTTATGGTTTGGATCCATAGGAACATCAACTGGACGACCACCTAACAAACCTGTTTCCTCGAGTAAGTCTAACACGTATTTCCTCTGAGGCAAGTTTATTTCTCGCTTAGATTGAGCAACTTCAATTCCCAAGATATATGTGAGTGTGCCCAAATTCTTAGTGTGAAAACATTGTTGCAAGAACTGTTTTAGCTTAGCAATACCCTCTAGGTTATCACTAGTGATGACGATGTCATCCACATATACAACCAAAAATATAAAACTTGCGTGATACTGAATGATCTGTTTGATAGTGACGGAGACCATATTTTAATGCTGCCTCAAAGAATTTTCCAAACCATGCCCTTAGTGATTGTTTCCACTGTTGGGCAAAAATAATATAACAGGGCAATGCAACAAACACAATACCCAACTCAAATGCGGAATACCCAGAGCTGAAAATTTCCCCTTAATGTACAAACTTTTAAGATTAACAAATATAGAGCAGATATAGCAAATAATAAGTAAAATCAATCACACAATGAATACCAAGAAATACGTGGAAAACCCTTCAGATTGAAGGGTAAAAAACCACGGGCCAACTCCGAATAATCTTCCACTCTCAACAATAATAATGGGGTTATAACTGGTCTTCTCTAGGTTGAACTAGAGGCTTACAATTAGAGGTTCTTCAAGGGAAATCAAAACCCTCGGATAACAACAACATCAACAGTAAGGAGCAACTTGATCATCTGTCCAAACTGCTGAACGAAACTCAGGTTTCAAGTGTTTCCTCAGGTTCTCTTGCCCAAAAAGGTAGCTCTTTAAGTGCTCTCACTAGTTTTTTAAATCCGGCACCTTGGATCATTGATTCTGGTGCATCTGATCATATGACTAGTTTATCACATTTGCCAGTACATATTTTCAAGTTCTGGTCACTTAAAAATTAGTATTGCTGATGGTAGTTTGTCTCCAGTTGCAGGAAATGGTTCTATAGTTGTCTTAGAAAACCTTGTTTTAAAATCTGTCCTCCATTTGCCTAACCTTTCATGCAATCTTTTATCAGTTAGTAAACTCACCAAGGATTCTAATTGTGTTGTCAAATTTCTTGATTCTCACTGTGAATTTGAGGACCTATATTTGGGGAAGATGATCGGCAGTGCTAGGATGGTTGATGGACTCTATTATTTTGATAACGAAATCTTCAAGAGTGGACAAGCTCAAGCTGCAAGTAGTAGTGATATTTCTATTTCTGTTAAAAGTAAAATAATGTTATGGCACTATAGGTTAGGCCATCCCAGTTTCTCTTACTTAAAACATTTGTTTCCATCCCTGTTCAAAAATTTAAATCCTTGGTTATTTCAATGTGAATCTTGTCAATTATCAAAGCATCATCGTGTTTCTTATCCTTCTCATTTATATCAAGCATCCCAAACTCTTTATTTGATTCATAGTGATGTGTGGGTGGGTTACTAATGTGACTGGAACTAGGTGGTTCATCACTTTCATTGATGACCATATTAGAGTGTGTTGGATATATCTTTTAAGGGGAAAGTCTGAGGCTGCGAGAGTGTTTAAAGAGTTCTATGCCATGATTGAAAGCCAGTTTTAAACCCGGATTCAAGTATTTAGAACCGACAATGGAAAAGAATTCTTTTACTCTATTCTTGGTGATTTTTTGAAAGAAAAGGGTATTTTCCATCAGTCCATTTGCTTTGATACCCCACAACAAAACGGGATAGCTGACAGAAAAAACCGCCTTTTAGTTGAGGTTGCTAGGGCAATAATGTTCACTACGGGGGTTCCTAAATATCTGTGGTGTGAGGCTGTTGTTACAGCTTCATACTTGATCAACAGAATGCCAACTAGGGTGTTGAAATTTGAGACGCCCTTAAATAGCTTGCTGTCAGTTTTTCCCTATATTAGGATCTTCACCTCATTACCTCTTAAAGTGTTTGAATGCATTGTTTTTGTACATGTTCATACACGGGATCGTTCAAAACTTGATCCTAGGGCTGAAAAGTGCATGTTTGTTGCTCTCCTAAACAGAAAGGGTATAAATGTTATAACCTCGCCTCTAAAAATTTATTTGTGAGTATGGATGTGACCTTTTTTGAGACTCAACCCTATTTCACCAAAAATACTCTTCAGGGGAAGAGTAATGAGAGGGAAAACCATTTTTGGGAATGGTTGGGCTCTTTACCATTGCCGAGTGTTTCACCAAACTCTATCTTACCTACTGAACCCACTATTTCAACCTCTCCGAAGCCTATTGGGTCAAACATTATAGACTACACTTTAGGGGGAGAACCACTTCAAATCCAACCTCAATCTGAGCTCTGTGTTTACTCTCGAAGAAGGAAGGATCAAAATAAAGAGCACCAACCTACTACTTGCCAAGAAAATTCTCCAGATAAAGGAAACTTGAATGAAACATGTGTTTCTCTCTCTTATCCATCTTTAATTCTTGAAACCAGCAATGAAGAGAGCCTTTCTCCTGACCTTGATAGTCCTATTGCACTTAGGAAGGGTACTCGCTCTTGTACCATGCATCCTATTTCCGTATCAAGGAATAGATTACCAGGAAACCTTTGTCCCGGTGGCCAAGGTAAATTCCATATTGGTGTTATTGTCTCTTGCTGCAAGCTTGAGTTGGCCATTGCAACAGTTAGATGTAAAGAATGCGTTCTTAAATGGTGAGCTAGAGGAAGAAGTGTTTATGAATCTACCATCAAGATTTGAAAATGATTATGGAGCAGGAAAGGGGTGTAAATTAAAGAAATCGCTATATGGTTTGAAACAATCACCCAAAGCATGGTTTGATCGATTCACTAAAGCTATCAAGGGTCATGGATATGTCAAAGTCAGGTTAATCACACTCTGTTCTACAAACATTCAAGTGATGGTAAGATTTTAGGCGATTAATGGGCGATTTGGAGTTCTGATCGGTAAGGGCACACAACTCGAGTTATTTTTATATCTAGAATTTTTTGGATGGTGAGGTAGGGTAAGTCTTTCCTTGATACGGCAAAATTGCCTCGCCTCACGATAAATGGTGAGATAGATTCTTTTCGAACCAAAGAGGGTCACGTTTTTAGGGTTTATGTTCATAGTACGATGTCTCGGGGGAACATCAGAAATGTGAGGTTCAAAATTGGTAATAATGCTGCTTCGGTTTTGGTGAAGGAGTTACATGCTTATAAGGCGCTGAAAGGATTGGACCGAATTTTGGATTTTGGTTCTGATGCAATTGGGGAGGACTTGGATAGTACTCTAGGCACTCCTACTTGTATTGGAGTGGTTAGCACTACTGATGATGACCGAGGTAGGGATGTAAAGGATAGTGCACTGTTTGACAGGGAGTTGGTTTCATAGGAGGTGGTTGAGGTCCTGGAGTGCATTCAACCACTTTCTGAGATACGACTGGAGGGGAGTTGGAGGGGTTTTCCTGTTGTAGCTCATGATGACAGTGGGGTGGATTGGGTCAAGGAGAATATTGATACTGTGAGTAGTTTGTTGGGGATTTCGTTTGAGCCAAAGCAGAAGGTGGCTCGTATGGTTTTGCATCCAATTGCTGAGGGGAAGACTGGGGAAGGGAGGGGTAGTAGGAAACGGACAGTGAGTAAGGAAAAAAGGTTGACTCCGTGGAGAGGGGGAAGGGAGGTTCACATCTTGTTTTCCGGTGTGAATTATGAGGGATGTAGTGGGGCTGGGAGGGAGAGGAGTCATGAAAGGGGTAGAGGGAGAATGAAAGGGGAAGGGTTATCCATTTGTTCTTGATGAAGTGCCGAATTATTTCTAGGAATGTCCGAGGACTAAATAAAGTGGACAAAAGAAAAGTGGTGAAGATGGCTGTGAAGAAGTGGTATGTGCAT